CAGCGCCTTGACTGCCAACCATCCCCGTCATGAGCCGCATTTTCGTACTAGAAGAGAACCTTAATCTTGACGCTGCTTTTCAAATATATGGCAGTATAAGGAGAACACCAGAATCGAGCAGTAGTAAACAACATAGGGAAACTATTTATAGGGTCAAATATAAAATTCTCGATATCAGCAATGAGATAGTTCTAGAAATCATAAAAACCTGAACAACAACCTGTTATACAAATTTAAAAAAAGTAACAATAACTCAGAGAGAGTGAGCTTTCTTGTAATCTTCGTATCGCTGTTTTTGCTCCTGATATTCCTGCATATTCTGTTGTTGTTGAATGGATTTCAAACGGTATTTGACTCCTTCCTGACGTCGTTCACGTTGAGCTCTTTCGTCCCACAAGACAAGAGCTGAAAATATGCTCTCAACCACAAGCACGAATGTTCCATGCAGGTCGGAATGCAATCGGGAAAACTCAAGACCCGAAATGGAACCCTTGTTCCTAGGGTTACCCTGGCATTATGGTGAAATAAAAAGCAACAGACGCAGGACTTCACGAGTACCATTCTGATTCTACGGCATTATTTTACTTCAATGTATGGCCCTAACTCCGTCACACATACGACACATTAAACCCAAAGCCGCGTTACTGTAAGAACTGACAGTAGACCTGAATGTTCGTTTTTGTCTGTCGTCTTATAAATCCAACCAGTGGTCCTTGAGACGATAGATGATTGCGAAAAAAAGCGAAGTGGTCGCTGCGATGAGCAGCACGAATGTAAAAATGGGAAAAGATGAGGGAGGAAATCTACAAACGTAGCAAGGGAATCGGATCTGTGGATAAGCCTTCCATACCTACACCAAACCATACTTTTACACAGCTCAAGAGAGTACTTATAACGCCGCCGAACCAAACTGTCTTTCTCCCAGTATTGCGAGTTTGCGTTTTGTCTACGAAGGCAGAAAATCGTCGCTCATAGAGGGCTACTTGAGTAACGACTTATCGAATACGACTCATACGCGAAGAAGATTCAAGCCCCGCGCCTTCATTCCATGTTACCCCGACCAGTCTTCTAGAGGGAACGTCCGCTGCGCGCGTCCGTCGGATGTAGGTCACCCGCCCCTTCGCGCGCGGCGCACTCCACTGAGGTTCCGAAATGACAATACAGTACCACCAAGTGTCAGTGGAGCGAATGATTTGCATTTGTCCGTATTATCTTCTCTTTGAGCTGACTGCCGCGGGCCGAGCGCAAACGATATGCCCCACAGACATCTGCGACGTCCGTCAAGTATCGCGGGCTGACCCGTCGCATTCGACGGTTGCGGGGTAACCTAGTTTCGAGGACGCGCGCAACGAAGCGCACCCATGTTCTAAATGAACGTGTACTACTCGAATGATCTTCAACAAACCTATCGTGACTGTCGTAAATATGCACGAACCAACGAAAACGCGAAATCCATATTGCTTCTTTGGCACAACGGACATAGACTGCCCGCTTGAGTTTCTACCGTACCATGAAATTTCAATTAAAAAAAGGCTTAATCATTAGGACATATTCTAAAAGAACATGCAGCTTCTGGGAAAAAGAACTCAGGATGGGCATTGGCCTCACATCAAATTAGAAAGAAATCTGGTTACTGATGAATATTCAATGGATTACCATCAAGTAGCTCTTCAGGAACATAAACAAATTAAAATAAATACTTTATGATGCCAGTGTTATGTTTATATCACAGTCAACAGTGAATATTCGAGAAATGTGAAATAATAACTGCCGATCGAAAAGAAAAAAAAAACAGATAGTATTCACTTCGATCAATTACCCACATCCTACATTCCAATTCTGAGCATAAAGCGAAACTGAGAAGTAGAAGAAACAAAACATTTTTATACAAATGGCCATACTACTCTGTACATCTCATAATATGCTACCCATAGATGCCGGAAA